TTTGACTATCCTAGCGCGATGATATTTATTTTCAAATGGTGCGGCCACCATCATGCCTTTAGATATGGCTGCAGGACTTTTAAAATGATCACTTTGTAGATTTTCGGGATTATTTAAGAGTGCATGGATTTCACGTAAACGCTCCATTTCCGAAAGCGGTTGAAAATAAAATTTGCTGCAATTTTCAATCTAAATTTAAGGCGAAAATTTATATATTTATGATTACATATGAAAACTTTTGTGCTCACATGTGTTATATAGCCGCGTATCATTTTTTTAAAGACAGAGGGCAAGACAACTAATTCGGGATTTTTGATTTGTTTCTTAATTGGTTGCCAAACACCTTCTACCATTGTGCCAATACGACGCTCCTCGGCATAGCGCACCTCGTTACGAGGACTGCGAAAGGAATTATATAATTTATTTATGATATTTTTCGTATGCTTTTTGATTGCAAAGCAACTTACTCCATAACGCGTATGCTTGCGCGTATGCCAAACATGCGCATGCGCACGGCTTTATAAACATCGGGGCAAACACGTCCCGGTACAAGCAGCCGATACGTACCACCATCGTCATCGTCATCTTGATCTTTTTTGAAAGTGACAAACACACGTTCAGCGCCTGATTGAAAACGCACTTCGATATTTTTCGGATGTATGCGCATAAACCTAAACAGTTCCTTAATGGAGCCCGTATACAGTTGGCCAATATGACGTGTATTGAATCCAGTAAAGTAGACTGTATTGCAGGGATCATTGCCGCAAAGCGTATGGTAGATACCACGTTCACGTTCGGTATCGTTCAAATTCGAGCGTGTAAAATAGTTGGGATAAAAGGCGCCAGCGATAATGATTTTCAATATAATTATCTTTTCACGATCAATCCAGCAAACGCGTTGATAGGCATGCTGCTCGCGTATGCCATAACGTAGCAGGCGTTCACGTAGTTCCACCACAAGCAGATGCATTTCTTTCATTGAACGCAAATTGATGAAATAACGATTGGCCCAATAATGTTCACTATCCTCCTCGTGGATATTCTGTTGTTCACGCATCGATGACCAAAGCTAATAATATTAAAAAGATAATATGAAATTTATTAGCTTAAAAGCAACATACGGCGGCTTTTGAATATAACCATTAGTCCCTGAAGTTAGAATGTTTGCCCTAGAATCATTTACTTTTCCCATATATTTAAGATGGGATTTTTTAATCTCTTGCAAAGCAAATAAACCTACGACTTGAATAAGTCTCATACAAAATTCAACGCTCTACAAAAAAGCGCTTAATGATTTTTTCTATAGAACCACTCCTTTAAACTATTGTAAATTCTAAACGCTAAATTCTGTGTTGCTCATACGACATGGTGTACATTCATACAGTACAATGATTGATGTGTAACTTTAGCTTTTAAAGGAATGTTATTATGGAAAAATCGTTTAGACCATTTTTGTAGAGCGCTACAATTTCTATTGGAATATAATTTTTTCAAAGTTGCAGCTTTACTTGATTAATGTAAAATATTAAAAATTATTTACATGGGAAAAGAAACACAGATTTAAGCATTTAAATTGAAAATGAAGGGCTTGTTTATGTTGGATAATTTTTTTTAGGGCAAAAACTGAAACTTCCGTGGACGTTTGCAAAAAAAAATTCAATATGGGAAACTCAAATAAACCTACACGATAAGCTCTTAAAATGGCAAATAAGTCCGAGCCAGAGCCGTCAGCCCAAACTAGTTTTTGTATATACGCCTCCACTTGGGTATTTTCACGTCCACGACGATCGACGCCAGATCGGAATATGGAACGCACACTTAAGCCGGCAGCTAACAAAATAGAATATAATAAACTTAACATAAAGATCTGTTAAATATAAGAACTACTACCGATTATAATTGCCTCTTCCATAGCGCTAAATATATAACCCAGCAATATGAGTCGTGTTAGACGTATATCTAATGGCATGCCGGCCATCACACGACCCATAAAACTCAAATCACCATCTTGTATGGAATATGCGCCATTAACGGTGGTGAAAAGTGCGCCCACCTCTTTCAACGTCAATATCGTGTTATGTATATCCGAGAGATTGGGCGGTGTCATAGCCAAACCTAGTATATCTGGCGGTGGTCCCATGTCAAGCAATTTTGCTTTGAGCACAGCGTTTTCTAGCGGGCAACGCAACATTTCAGCGGTGCCAAATTCTTCCATATAATGCTAAAAAGCAAAATTGTTTTTGAATATGTGCATACACGTGTTTATAGGTTATGATGAGTTTCAAGGTTTAAACTATACATACTTCATAGAAATCTTTTGAGACCATGCGATACACACGGCCATTCATTACACGACCTGCACGACCAGCACGCTGACGACAATTGGCACGTGATGCCCAATGCAGTTGCAATGACGAAAAATTTGTAGCAGTATCAGTGACCAGTGACTTTGTTAGGCAAAAATCAATGACTATAAGAAGAAAAGATATATACATATATACATACAAATAAGTAAAAAAAAAATAAAATAAATAAAAATTAAAATAAACAAAATAAATAAAAATAAACAAAATTAATATATTTTTAAAAATATATTTTAAAACTAAAAAAAAATATTTAAAAATATATTTTAAAACTAAAAAAAATATTTAAAAATATTTTTTAAAACTAAAAAAAATATTTAAAAATATATTTTAAAACTAAAAAAAATATTTAAAAACAATTAAAAACGAAGTACAAATTTTTAAAATATTAAAAAAAATTTTTTTTTAAAAATAAATTTGGTAAAAATTAAAAAAAAAAAAAAAAATTTTTTTAAATTAAAAAAATAAATAAATTTGTAAAAAAATAAAAAAAATTAATAAATTTGTAAAACATTAAAAAAAAATTTTGTATAAAATTTAAAAAAAAACACATTTAGGAAAAATATTTTAATTAAAATTAAAAAAATACATAAAAAATATTAAAGAAATACAAAAAAAGGTCTATTATACCATATTTGACATACCGTATTTAACGTCCGGCACGGTTATAGAACTTTCCGCAATGTTTGTCGCCAGTATTACTTTACGAAAACCAGCCGGTGGATTATTAAATACTTTGCTCTGCTCATCCGGCGAGATTAATGAATGTAACCGTATAGGAAAGAGTTTTACATTAGTGCTGAAAATATATTTGGCAAGTTATTTAAATTTTCAACTAAACACATATGCACCACACATACTCAACAGATTCGCTTATCGATTCCAATTTGTTGCACATTTGATCAATTTCGTTAATACCCGGTAGAAAGATCAAGATCGAGGTTTGTGGCAAAGAGCTGGGAATTATGGAAACCGAAGCTTCCTGCTTTTCTATATTATCTATGACAATAATCAGTTTATAGGCAATATTATACATTTCTTTCGATATGCCGGGATCTGAAACATCCACATCGGTGTTCTATAAAAGGATATAGAAAAGCAACAATTAATAAAATGTAAACTGGTTTAAACAACGTGTACGTGAACACTTACCGTACTATTAATGCGTCCCAAATCGGATAAATAGAATTCGCGCACCTGATAGAGGCGACGTGAATCAACACGCAACACTGGTGCTGGATTGCGGCGTATGGTAAAGTAATCAGAGAACTGAAACATATGTAATATAATTATTAAGTCAACTTTGTAGAATGTACTATCATATGCCAACCTCTCCTGCATTGATTGTAGCTGACATTAGTATTACTTTTACACCACGTGAATTTGTAGTCAACAATTTCCTTATAACTATTAGTAAAAAATCCATTTCTTGGCCACGTTCGTGCACCTCGTCAAGAATAATATGTGTAAATTGTCTAAGTGACTTCTCCTTTATAAGTTTCTGCAGCAGTACACCCGTTGTGCAGTATAGCAAGCGTGTATCTTCAGAAATTTTGGCGTGTAAACCAACCTGGAAAAGAAATAAAGATAGATTTCAAGTATATAAAAATGTATATAAATTATCGGCTTGACGAACTGAGTCGATTCAGCAATGTCCGTTTATGTCTGTATATACGCAAGCTAGTTCCTCAGACTTTGCATTATCAATCTGAAGTTTTACACTTGTCAAAATTGAGATCGGACCACTATAGCATATAGCTGTCATACAAACCGATCGACCAAAATCAAGTTATTGTATGAAAAACTTGTTTATCTGTGAAGGGTGAAATTACTTCGGTACAAAGGAACTTAACGTTTTTTTCTTGTTATTGATTTTTTTTATTACTGTAACGATTATTATTGATTTTTTATACATAGGTGGTTTCAGGAAATGAGCGGTTTCGATAGGGTTAAACCTTAGGGAAATGTGAATTAATACGTTCTCAGAACATTACTCAGAGGAAAGCGTTTAGTAAATAAAATATTAAATGACTCGATGTGAATGAGGCCAAATAATAATAATTTATTCTATAAGGTCAAATAAAAACAGTGAATTCAGAAAATTCCTCTCTACCCCGTAGTGTGGCTAAATCAAGTCAATATTTATTTAACTTTGTTAATTGAATTGTTAATACATTTCCACTTTACCTGAAAACCAACAACGGAGCCTTCTTCCCATTTTCTTTCCTGACAAACACGCTTAGCAATAGATATTGCCGCAATTCTACGTGGTTGGGTGCAGACAATTTTGCAATACTCCCGATTTACATAGGCTTCGTCAAGTATGTACTGAGGCACCTGAAATTAAAAAAAAAAAATTTATATATATTAATTTAAAATATATAAATAAAAATGGTTATATATTTTTTTATGCGGTATTATTTTTAATAAGGATCACCCTAACTTCTTTGTTTACAGTTTACATGTAAATAATAAGAAATTTCCCAAAATAAACAATTTGTTGATTGGCCACACTGAACCAATATTGTGACATTTCAATATGAATAGAAGTGTTTTGTCTCGGATTTACCGGCAAAAAAAAATATTAATTGCGAAATATCATGGAAACGGCGATTTTCGAGGACTCCCGGAAATTAATAGAGCTCTTTGTCCGTTCAGGAAATAATAGTTTCTCTTCATTTTGCGAACAGTGGAAAACTTTGCAATTCCAACACATTTACTTTGCACAAACGTCATATATTGAAATAATACAAACTACCTCTGCGATTATGCACTATGCAAAGCGCAACATATGCAGTTCGGATGAGGACGACATAAACATCGAGAATAGCACGAAAAATACTACGGCGCAACACTTTGCAGATGAACGTATGCGTAGACGAATAGGTTGTCTATATCTACTATATGTAATTTACTTTAAACAACCTACAGAACGTTACGTTAAAATTGAAACCAATCTAAATACGTGGAAATCAATAAAAAACTTCATAGACTCATTACCAATATCACCGGATATGGACGAACCTCGTTACATATTTTGGCGTCTATTACAAGCCGATGCATTTCGTTTTACAGCTTTAAATTATTGCGAAGGCTTAGAAGATTTAGTTGATTACGATAAATTAAATGATAAAGATAATGCAGACTTCTGGCGTAAGAATAGTAACAAAGAACTCGGACAGCAATTACAAGATTATCCAGCGATTCAACGCATATTACCAGCATTGACAGTACTTGAAGATGGTTATAATGAAATGAAGGAAATGTTAGTGAACACAAGTAAAAGTGGTATGCATAAGCAGTCCCTGCCAGCAACAACGATTTTCAAAAGCATAGAACAGTGTTTCCAAAATATTCAGGCTATAGTTGAAGATAGTGAGGGAGGAGAAAGCAAACAAAAAGTATTACCTTCAGAAAGTGAAAAACGGAATCTTAAACGTAAAGGTTTCACCAATAATCATAACGATAACGAACGTGAATCGGTCAGTGGCACTAATGAAAGTTTTTCAAAGAAAAATAAAACACTTAGAAGAATGTCAGCGCGTACGGTATTCACCGATGAATTGCCTGACGATTTATTAGATGATCTGCAAGAGCAAGAATCCATAGTAAGCACGGAAGATCAAGATTTGTCCGATGTTGAGCAGTCAACAGAAGAAAATTTATCAGATGCATTGAATGTTCATTTAACGGAATCTCAGGAAAATTGTGATCATGAAGGTAATGCCCATAAAAGCAGTCAAGGAAAAGAAACAATTGAGCAGCAATTAAATGAACTATTAGAAATAGAACTAAGCAAAGAATGTGAAACGATTTCAACTAACAAGGACAATTAATTAAGTTAATTAATTTTTATGATTGTAAAATATCTTACAAGTCATAACAAAAAGTTTAAATATAAACAAATTGTTGAACGTATATAATAAAATAAAAAGTATATACATATTAAAAATGATATATACATACATAGATGATTGTTTATAAAATATTATTCATACTTATATAGGATCGGCTGTGGAAGTACTGTACAATATTTAACCAAGATAAAGATAAACCTAAGCTATTGAAATTTTTTTTAGTTAATCTTGTTGTAGATACACAATATATTCTCCACCAATATGGGAAGATACACGTCTGTCCTGATACTTACTCAAATACTATTAATTTGTAAAAAAAATTTGAGCTGACACAATGCAAAGGACTTTACTCTCATTGCATACCATAACAAATATTTATGATATAGTTTAACTACTCACCTGCGTAGTCTTTCCGCATCCGGTATCACCTTCAAGTACCACCACAGGATATTTACGTAAAGCACCCAAAATTTGGTCTCTGTTGTCATGTATGGGAAGCGATTCATCCCGATTTAAATTAAAATTATATCGTGTATATACATTGTCATCAATTCGATTTATCTTTGGTTTAATATCATCTTCATCACTTAAATCTTCAAGTTCATCCATACATGTAGATGAAGTTGCACCATGCCGTGATGAACGTGTATCATCCATCTGATCATCCTCTTCCTAAAACAATTAAGATAACTTACAATTCTAGCGCATTTTTCAAACTATATATTTTTGCCTCTAATATTCGTTTTCGCTCTCTGTCGGCAATTTGCTTCGAGTATTGGTCACCAAAATATTCGCGCTTAATGGGTTTGCCACTATCATTTTCGCCCGCATTAGCAGCAATGTTACCCGAAACACATCCTCGCGGTACAGAAACACGCTTAAATTCTTGAGTGAAGTCAAAGAAATTATTTACTTCATCCATTTTTAGTGCCACCAAAGGGATAATTCAAGAGGTTGTTTATAGTCTCCTATTCCGATCTTCAGAAGTCTTCCGCGGTTAATTTTTAGCATTCGTAAACTTATCAGAAAAGTTAATTTTCTTGTTTGCCTCCTCCAAAAACTATTTCTCCGTTATTTCCCACAAAAGTGCTGCCAATCATAAACTTTAGATCTAAAGGGTATTTTATCACTTTTTTCATGACATTTTAAAAGCCCCGCAAGTTTTAACCCCGTTGTGATTACTTCGTGGTTTAAGATTTATTATTAATATATTTTCAATTATTCTATATATCTTATTCTTTGTTTCTTTAAAATTATTTAAAAAATGACTAGTGGTTATCAAGTGAAGGAAGAAAGTGATAACGAGAAAACAGCAACAGCTGTGACAACGGTGACAGCAACAACAAGTACTGCAGGTACTCAAATCGCAAGTGTAGGTGCTGCTAGCAAGGAAATTCCGGAACATATTAGAAAATTTGTGTTTACGAATCAGAAAACTGAAAATTCAAGCGATACCAGCGACTTAACGGAACCTCTGGAAAAAGTGGAAGTGCAAATACCTGAGGTGAGTTCATGTCGAAACGTAATCTAAAATAAAATCAAGATAAATCGTATTATACTTACATACTATGTATGAAACAATGATGTAACAAACTTTACACTTATTTCCACAGCTCTTACAAAGTGGTTACTCCTTCTATACTTGGCCGTGTGCTCCGGTATTGGCTTGGTTTTTGTGGGAAAGTCGTCGAAATCTTGTGGGCAAGCGTGTTCTCGAATTGGGTGCAGGCACAGCGCTACCTGGTATATTAGCTGCTAAATGTGGTGCACGTGTTATACTTAGCGACAGTTGTATATTGCCAAAATCATTAGCACACATTCGCAAATCTTGCTCAGTTAATAATCTTGTACCCGGACAAGATATTGAAGTTATCGGTCTCAGTTGGGGTTTACTACTCAACAGTGTTTTCAATATAGGACCACTTGATTTGATAATAGGAGCAGATTGCTTTTACGACCCAAGTGTATTTGAAGATATACTTGTAACCATTTCGTTTTTGCTTGAAAGAAATACGGACGCAAAGTTTATTTGCACATATCAAGAGCGTAGTGCTGATTGGTCTATCGAGGCGTTGTTAAAGAAGTGGAAGCTACGTTCAGTACCTATCATTATCGACAACTTGGGTAAAAATTCTGGAGTTGATCTCTTGGAATTAATGGGCAATCATACTATACATTTACTTGAAATCACAAAGGAGCGGTAAAAAGTTGTTGCAACGTATTTTTTTCATTTAAAAAGAATATTAATAATTATTCATAATGTCTGGAGTTGCACGCAATTCGTATAAACTGTTTGTTGGGAATCTACCATGGACCATTGGCCAAAAAGAATTACAATCATATTTTTCCAACTATGGTCATGTTGCTAGTACCATCGTAGTTTTTGATAAGCAGCTAGGCTTCTCAAAGGGATATGGTTTTGTATCATTTAGCAGTCGCGATGGATTTAATAATGCTTCCAATAAAAATACACATTTCATCGAAGGACGAGTACTCAAAGTGCAGCCAGCAAACTCTTAAAAATATTCTAATTAAGAATCGTTATCATCTACATGTCAAATTTGTAGCACCTGCATCAAATTAAAAAGTTATTAAAAACATTTCGTAAAATTTACAAAAACACATATATACATTTTTTAGTTTTTTTGTATAACAATAGCATTTTTAAGCATATTACAAATATTTTAAATTTAACAAATTATTTTTGAAGGTAGTTTTTGTAACATTTGCCCACGGCATCTTTCACGCTCTTATACCCTTTATCAGATAGCAATTGTGATAGCTCCCTTTTAATACGTTGCACAACCGGCGGTCCTTCATATATAAAGGCAGTATAGAATTGCAAATAGGAGGCTCCTGCCTCCAACTTTTCCAACGCATCTTGACCTGATGATATACCGCCAACACCAATAATAGGAATTTTTCCGCCCGTTTGTGCATAAACTTCAGCAATTAGTTGCGTCGATTTGGAACGTATAGGTGGGCCACTTAAACCACCAACCTCTTTCGCCAACTCAACTTCCTTCAGATTATCGCGTGTTAGTGTAGTATTGGAAACTATTAATCCTTCAACGCGACAATTTTTCTTATTTATAACACCAACAATGTCATTTATATCTTGTTTAGTAATATCTGGTGATATTTTCAAAAATATTGGTATTTTATTATTAACTGTCAACGAGTTACGCGCTGCAATGATTGCTGTCAGCAACTGTTCCAACTCTTTTTTACCTTGTAAATCTCGTAGACCTGGCGTATTTGGACTACTTACATTAATAACCAAATAGTCAGCAATGGGACCAAACACTTTTACGCCATTCACATAATCTGAAATCGGAGATTTCGATGTTTTATTTTTGCCTAGATTGACACCAAGCACTCCGTCGAAACCTCGCACATTCCTTAGTTCATTTAAACGTTCAAACACAGCGCGATGTCCTTCACTATTGAATCCATATCGATTTATAATAGCATCATCGTTAATTAAACGAAAAACTCGCGGTAATGGATTGCCGGGCTGCGGTTCTGGGGTTACTGACCCAATTTCCACGAAGCCAAATCCTAATTTATATAAACCTTCTACAGCTTCACCTTGCTTATCAAAGCCAGCAGCGATGCCGATTGGATTCGATATTTCTTTGTTAAAAAATGTGACAGCCTAAAATGAGTCAAAACATTGTCTAAATATGTGAACATTATATAAAGTTGAACTACAAACCAAATTATGTGAGTCTGATTGTGGCGAGGCTGGGAACACCTTATATTTACAAGCGAGAACGGCCAAGTTATGACTTGTTTCTGCTGGCAAATAGCGTGATAAAGGCATTAAAGTGTTCTTGTAAAATTTTTCATTGCCTTTGTAAATGCAAAAGCCCGCATAGAATATAGATGCACCTGTAGTCACTATCGCCAAAGATTTAAGTTTGTTCTGTGGGAAAGCACAAGTTTAAACGTTTGTATGAAAGAACGATGTATGTATGTATAGATACGATGTATGTATGTATAGATACGATGTATGAATGTTCAGATGATTATATTTGTTCCGGTAAGTCCTTTATTCTAAATTTAATTTACCCTTCGTCGCGGCAAAACTGGTTGTCTTGTCGTCATGGCATTTAGCAGATGTGATAATCTCATTTTTTTATTGTATAAAACCTTAGCTTTAGCGGTTTATAGAACTAGCTTAAAACAATTTACAAAATCAGCTGAGCAAAATCTACGCATAAGAATTATACTACGTGTACATGGAGACTCCTTTGTCGCTCATTATCGGCAAATTCCCTTTTGGTGTGGCTCTGTGCGTTCACGCGAGCAAAAAAAGTCCAGCAACTCGAAGCAAGTTTTTCTATTATTCCTATTCATAAAGTTTTCGCAAATGTTTTTGAGGTTCGGCTACGCTACACTTGGAGTGTGTTGCATATTTCATTTGTAAGTTGGGATGGTGGTTTCACATTTTGCTTGCAAGGAATTACCAGGAATGTGGTAGAACAATATGCCTAATACCCCCGCTTAAGAGTTTCAAAAAAATACTTAAGTCGGGAATTCAATAATACACCAGAATATATTGAATACCCGCTACTAATCTTTTTATGGCAAAATTTATAACAGGAATTTCCTAATCTTTCGGGAAGCATTAAAAACCCATAATTTTTTTTACTCCATATTTTTATCTATTTATAATAAAACATTAATTACTATTCTTGTTTTCAATAAAATGTAATTCGAATCCGATAATTCGATCGTTTGCGCTTAAAAAAAATAAATATGAAAGCATCTTAATATTTTATGTAAATATTAAAAAGTAAAGTTACCATTTTGCTTAGAATTGATTTATGTATATGTTATTACATTTATTAACGTTAAATGTTATTTAAAATTTAAATTAAATATATTTGAATATCTTCATTTTCTCCTTATTCACAGTTTTTCAAAATATTTCTATTATTCTATGCATACATATTTGCATATTACATACAATATATATATTACGAAATTCAAATTTCCCAACATATCGTATATATTCATTTGAAACCGAGCGCTGTTGCAACTATGAAAAGAATTTCAAAATGAAAAGGAATGCTGAATTGTTTAGCAGCGAACTGTTACGAACAAGAACACAAAGCGTGCCGTCGTCCCCTCGCACACAAAAAACCGGTTTGAGCGACAAAAGAATCTGTGTATGAACTGGGACTTAGATGAAAATTTCAAAAAATTTACAACCAGTGATGGTCTTTTTGAACCGATAATAATTTACTTAATAACACTTTCCCCACTTTTTCACTAATAAATATTACTAACAACTTAAATTTGTAAGCTTAAAATTAATGTATCTATGTTTGAATTAATAAATTTGTTTTATCGGTGGTGATGAGCTATATGATTCGAATTTATTATACTTAAGTTTGTTGCTTTGTTGCTTAACTGCTAGCTATCAGGGAGAAATTAGTAAGAATTTATTAATATGTTGCTTTTAATAATCACATTTTATCAACTCTTAAATATTGATACAAACAAAATCAAAGCAAATGCGTCAAATATCGCTTGTTTACACATATGTATGTTTTAACAGCAATTTTCTTAATATGGAAGTAGCTATTTTCTGGGTTAAGGAAAGCTTTTCCATCAAAAACTTGTATAGCTTTTGATAGAAAGCGGTTAAGAAACAAACTTTTCACCGGTTTACTTGTGGCAGCACTGTACACAGATTAAATACAATTTCAAACATCTTGGCAACTATATTATACTTTCATTCATCAATTTGTTTTGATTACAGTTTGTATTTTCGATTATTGTATAAATCTACATTATACAATGTTTTCGACATAACACAAAATTAAAGTATTTAATATTTATATATAAAAATACAACTACAATGTCCTCAACTGATATAAAATTAGAGGTTTGTGTCGACTCAATTGCTTCGGCACTAGCCGCGGCCGAGGGAGGTGCTTCACGTATTGAACTATGTTCCGCACTAACAGAAGGTGGCCTAACGCCTTCACTAGGCACGTTGATGACACTTAAGGAACTTATAACCATACCAATTTATTGCATGCTACGTCCAAGACGCGGCAATGATTTTATTTACTCGAATGCAGAAATAGAATCAATATTGCTAGATTTGGATGTACTACGTTCACACGGTGCTGATGGTTTTGTCTTTGGCGCACTCACCGAGCAGCGTTCCATCGATGTGGAAAAATGTCAGCGTGTTTTAGAGCGTGCTGGAGGCATGCCGCTTACATTTCATCGTGCATTCGATCTCACTACTCCAGAAATAATGCATGAAAATGTAACCATCATAAAAGAGTTAGGTTTTAAACGTTTACTCAGTAGCGGTTTTCGCGTCACCGCTATTGAGGGTAGTGATAATCTAGCACAGCTCATTGCTAAGCATCGCGATATAATTATAATGCCTGGTGCTGGTATTAGTGTAAGCAATTTGGATGAATTGTTAACAATTACAAAATGTGTAGAATTTCATGCTTCTGCTCTATCAGCCGCTGGCGTGATAAGCAGTAATGGCGGAGTGGCGAGCATGGATTGCGATGTAACAATGGGTAAGCAAGACGCGTCTCCTTACGCGATAGCTGACGTTAATGTGGTACGTGGAATGGTAAGCATCGCTATGGCAGCAAAATAAATAACATACAAAAATACTCCGATAGTGAATATACTATTAACGAAAATTATTATGTATATACATGTTAATACATATAAAAATATGTACGTAATTTTTGGCTAAAACCTAAAAATGCACTTTACTACTTAAGCGTCGCTTTAACTACAATACATACTTATATACATCTTTCCTAATTCAATACAAAATTCTACGTGTTTACTTTTTATCTCATATTTTGTTTAGAAACAAAAAGTTCATTCTACGGCTCTTAAAATTATTTGAATAACCCGAAAACCAATTTTTCGAATATCTGGCTTGTAACCGTTCGTACGCATATTAACGGAATAGTACTGTTCAAATAGTCGACAACGAACGGTTAACCGGATAATCGAGAATGAGAGGTTAATCGCGTAGTCGACAACTATCGGGATACTCCGTTCCCACTACAGGCGGGTCTAAGTAACCGGAACGGACCCGGCCAACTACTATCAACTCGGCACCATTCCACGAATGTTTTCTCCCGCTGCAACAACAACAACATTATCCGGATAGTATAAACCGAATATTATTATTCGAAAAATGCCCTTTCCGGTTAGCCGAATACAAAGAGCTCTAGTTCATACCCCACTTTGATGAAATGTATTTGAGTTTTAATAAAATTATTATTTTCTAATATTTATAGTATTTATTTATATATATATATATTTATGTATATATATTCCCGTATATATACATATGTATGTGTGTATTTCTTTAAGAGTTCATTAAAATTTAAATGACCCTATTACTTCTATTAATTTTACTTAAATAAATTTACATCAATATGTATGTATGTAATATTTATTGTAATATCGAGAGTAAATCAACAAACAGTTTGATTAATATAATAGTTATATTGTAACCGAGAACACAGCGATAGATTTACTTACATTCTTTTTTATAATTTGCAGATTACTTTATTACGTAAAGTAAACTTGTTTACCAACAAATGTATTTAAGACATATTTAGCCATTTTTTATACGTTTAATAAATTAAAGTTGTTTCAACGACAAACCCATTTTTGTGTAATTACTCTACATTAATTTTTTATAAATTTTTAAACGTAATTATTAAATAATAATTATTAATTAAAATTAAAAATGTTAAAATTTTTACAACTACATATAACTTTGTTTTTCTTTTCTTTAACGGTGGTAATAAACACATATTGTCTAGGAAATATTAGAATGGCTCAACACATCTAGATATAATATATAGCAAAGATATGCAAATTCAAGCTTATAAGCAGCCAGTCAAGAAAAAACGTTTGCAAACACCCAATTATTGTGGTGGTGTTATTAAAGAACAGTTTAAACATAAAGAACCACATGCAGTCACTGCAGCGTTCAACGCTTACATATTATGCAAAAGCCAATTTTACGAATGCAAGAGTACCCCCAACAAAAACCAACATACAAATTTGCTTTGTTTCCATTTCCGAACGCTTTGTTGCAATCCAATACTGTTTTTATTCATTTTTTATTATTATTATTAAATATCATTTTATATGTATGTATATATGCAGGTGTATATGTATACTATTTTAGAACAATGATGACAACTACAAATCTAACACATTGCCCCATTATCGCTCGCTTTTTAATGTACATAAGTTTAACTTGGGCGTATGTATGTTAGTTCTTAATATTGTATTTATTAACTATATGCTAACAATTTTTGATTTAAAAACAAAGATACAACTTTTTTTTTATGTTTTGTTAAATATTTTGTTTACACATATGGCCAAAAAGCAACATTTTTTTTACATTTATAAAGAAAATACTTTTAAAAATTAACAGAAAGTCGAAAGAAGAGCAAGAACAAATCAATCTCTAAAAAAAACAAAAAAAAAACTATTTTAACTTATAAAGATTCTCTGTACCACATTAAATATCGGCCACACGGCAGGCTGCGTACTGAGCAAAATAATTTGTAATTTTCGGCATAACTCTATGCAATGCAGTAGTGTTGGAAGCAGAGTTATAATATATAATATAATATTGCACATTTATATATTAATTTGCAGTAGCAATATTTCCAACATTTTTAATTATTGTTTAATGTAACATTTAGATTACTAAAAACTGTGGTAAACATATACACACACTGATTATAATGAATAAATTAGTGAGTTACCACCAAAAAAGCAACACAACGAAATTTTTAAGTACTTGCAAATACTTTGAAAACAACACTACTAAAACACCCTTCTTATACGCACGAAAATTGTAGTAGAAAAAATTTTTAATTGTAAAATCCCCAACACTTATTTTTTTTCAACCAACAAACAAACAACTACTTGATTTTCTCGCTTTTCACAAACATCGCGAAAAAAATTCGTTTTCAAAACACATCTTGCTGGTGGAGCGCTGCATTTCGCACAGTGAAATTAACCACTGTTCTGTTCTGCTAATATGCAACATGAAGAGCATTTATTTCAGTGTTTGAAATGCGGCAATGCTGAGGTTGGTTTTTGTTTTTTTTTTTTGCCCACCATTTAAGAACATGTTAAGAGCACGAATTTTGCGCATTTCACATTTTGCATACTACATATTTATAACAACCGCAAATTACGAAAATATATTACACTGCTCATTTCTGTTCTGCCTGCACGTGCCGTATAAATTAATACAATGTCGGCCAAAAAATAATTTTACATGTTTATCCATATGATGCTACTGCCGCCTGCCGCACTTATTTTGGTGAATAAATGTGGTGCTCGTAGTGTTGTAATATAAAGTTTTTGTTACATCTAAACAAGCTTCTCTACAGTTATATAAGTGGGTTAACATTAGACAATAAACATGATTAAAGTGCAGCATATCTAAATAAAATATAATTAAAGGAAATCAAAATAGAAGTTACAAAACCCGGTGTTATAGAGAAAAAAACATGAAAAACTGTTTTAAATTTCCATTAAAAGTTCGAAGAACCAAGAGCATGTAAGAAGAGCTGATAAAGCTGCAGTATCAGTAAAACTATTAGCTCGTTACCACTTCCGCATCCGAACAAAACAATCATTCAAAATTTTAAGCGAGCATATTTTTTTTTGTACAGGAATGTATATATAACGTGTGAGTATGTATTGCTTTTATACAATTTATGAATATGTTTTTGTTATTAGATAGTTTAATGCTTCTTTATGAATTTTTATTTGTATTTAGTTATACAACTCAAAATATATCAAATATGATGGTTTACTAATTGTTTGCCGTCTGTTCCAATTTTTAGTTTTTGCTTTAATATTTTGTGTTTTAAATAGCAATGCATACATCCCCATAGAAGTGCGTTAACGTAGATTTAATTAAACTGCACAAGGTATTGCGTACTTTATATATGCATAAATAAATTGTATACTTTGCAACGGCAGCAAATTATTGAATGGAATATTATTATAAAGCGTACTAGCACTTTCACAGTTTGATTTCTAAATTATATTCACAATAATTGTTAGGAGGTCATTCGGTTTGTCTTCTCTTCTTTCGATTCCAAGAAACTCACTAGGAGTCTTATTTTTTTTTATATCAAACACTGTTTTCATGCCACAACATTACATTCCCAGCTCTTTTCAACATTTCTTCCATCCGCTTTTAAATTTGACTCTTTTAGCTAACAATTAATTTTCAGTAAATGTTTTTTTTTGTTTCTTTATAAAATTAAATTAAAAACCCGCATTCAACTACCTTTTCTGTTAGTGTTTCATTTCTGCTTTTCTTCGTTTAACTATATGTGTCTATTGGGTTTGTTTGTTGCATATAGTGTGTACACTTAAAATATTTAATCGGTGAATTTACGATTGACATTGCGACCGAACAAAGCGTTACGAATTTCTGGCACAAGTTGTTGCGCAATTAATTCTAATCTGGACTCCAGGGTGTTGGGTACCTTAAAATAAAATAAACGTATTAGCAATATATTAATACAGATATATCTTAAGCTAACAAGTTTAATAAACAATCACGTTTTTATCCGAAGATAAAACTAAACAACTAAATCAACCCCAATTTTTTTAATTAAAAACAGGAAAAAATGTAAACTGTTATACCCTTCACAAATACAAAAGAATCCATACAAAAACTTCGTTTTGATCCGTCAGTTTGTATGGCAGCTATAGTGATCCGATCTATACAACAGTTGCCTTGGACAAGTATCCATGCCAAATTTCGTGCAGATATCTCTTCAAATAAAAAAGTTGTCCATTCAAGAACTGGATTTTGAACAATTTCTTTGTAGATAGAACCGTTGCCTTCGACAATAATCCATGTCTTCCCACGACAGTCGGGTCTACATAACCGGAACGAACCTGGATTTTATTCGGCCAAAGACTGTCAACTCGGCTGAATTCTGCCGCTGTATGGTATAGTGGTCCGATATTGGCGGTTTCAACAAATAAGCAGCTTTTTGGACAAAAAGGACGTGTGCAGAATTTCAAAGCGATATCTCAAAAACTTAGGGACTAGTTCGAGTATACAGACGGACGGACAGGCGGACATGGCTAAATCAACTCAGCTCTTCATACTAATCATTTATATATGTATATATTTTTTAAGCTCTCCGCCGTTTCCTTTTAGGTGTTACAAACTTCGTGGAAAACTTAATTTACCCCCCTATTCAGGGTATAAAAACTATATTTACCTTTAGACGTCCATTGAGCGCAATCAACTCAATTCCACCGCATGTGTCTGCCGAAAGATGATTATCCGTATCAATATGTACATTTACATCTTTGCCAATTTGTTGCTTATATTCCGCAACAGTGGCCGGCAGCACTTCATTTATTAGACCAATATCGGCCTGACGGCAGCGTAGGGTGACACTCGGCTCCATGGCCTGGTACAGCGCTTGCAAAATAAGTTTCTGCAAAACCTCTTTGTATTCGCTGGGATTCCTGGTAACTTCACCAAGGCGACGACGTGCTTCATCTAACACATTGCGTACATGATCTTCACGCACTTTCAGTACCTTGAAGTTAGCAATTAATTAATTAAAATTATTTTCTTTCCTTAACTTGATACAAGTACATGCAGTATGCTATATCAAACCTACCTTCAATCGAGCTTGATTCAGCATATTCGACGATTGAATTTTCTTTTGAAGTTCAACTTGTTTCTCCTTTTTTTCATAGTACTCCATGATCTTAAGGCGTTGTTGTTGCACAAGACGTCCCTTCTCAATGTTAAATTCTTCCTCGGCCTTAGCATCAATTTCTTCAGCTTTTTCATTGGCTTCTTGCTCAATGAAAGCCATCATATGCTTAATCTGTGTTGAAACAAAAATATATACATTATAGGTATTTCGATTAACAATTGGAAAAAAAAAAATAACAAAAAAAAATAACAGTTTACACATACTGTTTAATCACATGATTCGTTGTTAAAAGCTTAAAAATGTGTAGCGCACACGAAAGCGCCTTCTATAAAAATCTCATATTTACTAGCACTATTTTCTAGATTTTTTCGGTAATTATAATTGAAATAAACATCATCTACTGCCAGATTCATCTCCTAGACAAGCGTCTTATTTACAAATATGTGATAACAGATTTTCACCACTATCGTCAATCCAATAAGATATCCAGAGCTATTTTAATAACCATTGTTACTTTCCCCACTCTAAATTTCTACAAATTATTAGCATTTGACACTTACTAAAATGAGATAACTACCTTTCGTAAGCAATTAAGCATGCATTTATAATTGTGCTGTCTCTTTCGCACCTATAGCATAACCTTCGGTTAGTCACATGACTAGCACCATTGATATTTAAACTCACAATTTCCCAATTGGATGTGAAAAAATTTACAAAAAAAAATTTATAAGGGCCTTTGAAACAATTATATAAATTATAACCGATTTATTGGACAGCTATAGGATCCATTAGTAAACGACGCACGAGCACATAATTTTTATTTACAATTTATCATACATTCTAGTCGTATTCACATGACACACATCCCATGACATGATGGCTGCCAAATTTGCTACTACTATCTTTTAATTTACTACAGCCACATTAGATATTTCATTCAATTGTTCTTAATTTATATTGGATAATCACTTAAAAATCACCAAACGATAATCTAAGTTCATCCTTCATTTTGGAATTTTACTCACCTGTTTTTGTACATCTGCGTCGCTGAGTGCCATTTTTGCAAATTTTCTTTTTTCGTCCACAGAATAATTTCAGATTCAGCCGATGGAATTCAGTTATCACTATCTCACGATTCCTGTAAATTCAAGTAATTATACTCAGCTTTAGTTTTAGAGTTTTTTAACCTAATTTGATATATTTATCAAAAAACTATAAGCATACAAATTGCAGAACTGGATAATTCAAGATATATGAAAATTAATTTTACTTGCAGGAAAGCAGAAGTAGGTAGAAATGTGTGCGTGTGCGCTACTCCAAGTCGGTCCGTCGTGTAAAATTTTTCGACTGGTTCCAATCTTTTTCGATCATATGATTGGGGAAATTTCCCACTTCGAAATAAAATCCCTCATATTAAATTGTCAAATTAATTACAGGGTTGTATCAGTTTCAGAATTCCTCAATTTTTACTCACGGTTTTATTCATGATTTCAAATAATTTCTTTGTATCTTACTTTGTTTAAACAACTCGCAATCAATGCAAATCTTTTCAGAAAGAACAATGCTAGTTAACCCTCACAATAAATTGATGACTAAAATATGCAAAAGTTTCAACCAATTAAGTGAGTTTTTTATTAAAATATTGGCGTCGGCTTTAGTGTACAATCCCACGATTTCAGGGTTAAGAGGGGTATGGTTGAATACAGGAGATTATCCCGATCACGAACCTTAACCCTGAAATCGTGGGATGGTATACTTAAGCCAGATAATGTTTATGAATAGTTTCATATATATATTCATTAACATACTCTGCTCTGTCTATTCATTAACATTCTCTGCCAAAATATTGTTTTTAAGAGTGGCAAGATAAGTGGATTCTATCAGATTAGATTCTTATTTGCCTTTACTGATTGGACTTAAAAACACTCAACATTCATAATTTTATTGTAAAAAAATTAATTTTTTGACTAGTTGACAGAATAGTAAAATAAATAATATATATACTCTAATATATTTTTTGAAATTATTCATTAATTTTGTATTATTCCAAAACGACTCTGCGTTTTTACAGCCTTGGTGTTTATTCAGCGTTAATTCAGCTACTCGTTCGTCGTCTCGTTCGTGGTGTTCGTGTCGCCATTGTCGTTTCGCAGAGTGTTAGAAAATTGTGTGAAAAATTTAAATCAATTTTTTGTGAACATAAAAGTGTAAAAGTGCAAATGCAAAGAAGCTAGAAAGTGCATTTTACATGAGATTTACAAATGTAAATTTAATGTTTGTCGTGCGAAAATCGTAAAGAATAAGAAAAAGGACTAAAAATCTGTCGTGAACAGGCTACTCAAAACCGCCAATAGGAAAGAGGCAAGATTGTCGTTTCGTCTTTCCAAGGCACCGTAAGAGTGCAGGCAAAGTGTTTCTTTCCAAAAAAATACCAACGCTACATTTTAATACTGTTCCAATATAACATAAAATATCCCATGAGCCAACGTCGCCTTTGTATCGGCAAATAAACCGATACCATCTATACATTCAAAAATCCAATTAAGTTAAAATTCAGTTTTAAGACCTTAATAATAAAAAAAAAAAAAAAAAACATTTGTGATTGGTCGCTGTTTAACAATCTTCGTATGCTGTGAAATCTCCAGTTGCTACAAACATTTTCACATTTCATACGCAGGCGAGAACTGCTGTAGCAAAAGCACTAGGAAGAAATTACAATTAGCATTACTGTCGTGCTTAAACTTAAAGTCGGAAGAAGAATTAAGACCGCTATTTGCAACACTGCCATAATTTAAGATAATCGGACTCAGTGTAGCAAAAGTAGCGACGTTTTGGCGTGCGCTCGAATTCCTGCGAAAAACAGGTCACTTGGAATGTTAGATGCGGTGAACGCAACAATTACAGTGTGTCGATCGTGTGGAAAAAAGCAGCAAAGAACAGAGGAGAAAGGGGAATACCTGGGTGAGTTTATAAACCCAGTGAATATGTTAATATTAACAATAAATTAATAAGAAGAGTGCCAGTGGAAAGTTTACAATAAATCAGGAGAGTAAAAAGAGCGGGAAGTTTTCATCAAAATGAACTTATGCTTATGCAGAGAAGAGATGTCAATAAGGCAACAAACAATAACAGTTAATAAAGAAGTGTTGTCCTTTTGTTACATTTTATGGGAGTATGTAAAAGTGTGACGCTTTAAGTCCAAATTTTACGTAGATCCCTTCCCATCCCAAAAGAGTGTGAAACAAGTAAATATAATTTCAGTTTCAATACTTCTAAATATCAATAAAAAAAACTTTGTGCTACCATTAATATTTACTCTTCACATCTATATACGTGTATAGAAATATGTTTACATACTGTCAATACAAAGCAAATCATTTTGCACATATACAAATACACTATCACTTGAGGTAACAGAGAACTTTCTTGGTAGGCACAATTTATAGTCAGGAGTAGAAAATGTTGAAAATTCAAATTGTGTCTTAATTCAGCCGACTGACTCAATTCTCAATTTGTCGTTGCGGTTAACATGTACATATGTACAAGTGTTAGTGTTTCTGTTGGGGTTTGTGTTTGTTACTTGTCCAATATACAGTGGTCGGCTTCAATTTGTAGCCATTCTTCTTAACCGCTAGATTATTATTATCTTTGGGTTTAATCAGAGCCAGTCCATATATTATGTATAGATATAAATTTCATTGAAATTGCATTATGTTGTATTATTTTGCCGATGATATACAAAAGTGTGCGTATGCTTTAATGCGTATATCACTTCTAAACAGTTGAAAGAATTTAAGGCTAAAACGGAATAGATGCTTGAATCTTTAATAATAATCGTTTCCTACAACATATCTATGTACAGACATATGTAATTACTTTTTTGTTCTAATGGATATTTACGCATGCGCACATTTTGTTTTGCATTTCTTTTGAGTGGAAGATATACGAAGCAGGGATAGGTTTATTATTTTATATATTGACATAAGAATATGTTAAGAATTGCATAATTAAAAGCGAAATTGCTAAAATAAATTTTATATTACAGATTATGGCGAATTTAAATTTCCAACAACCTCCGAGAAGTTTAGCAAACACCTCAATGACGGGGCGAACTACAGGTGGATTTGGTGGTAGTTCATTATCCGGTCATGTAACACCAACGTCTGGCATGTTCCCAACGGGTAAGAGTTCTACAAAATTGGTTTTGGATAGTTGTTGATGCTGCTTTGTGCATTTTGCCCTCTGAAAATTGCATTTGTTGGCATTTTAATATATTTTGGACCAAAAAATCGTATATGACATTTCTTTAGGCGGTGCAAATTACGGACAAACGCAACAACCTCAACTCTCACCGAATCGCAATGCACAATTATCTGTGGGCGGTCCGGCGTTATCGAGAGGTGGTCGCGCGAATATTTTTGGTCAACAAACGTTCGAACGACGAGCTATGCAGGCGTTAGGTGGCGGCCCTATGGTGAGTTTTTCCAAACACTTCACATATAATATATATATTTATATAATGTTTGTAATAATATAAATTTACATATCTTCAGTCGAATATGGGCAGCTTTATGCAATCGGGACGCGGTGGCTACGGTACTGGAGGCGGTGCAAGTGGTTTTCCCACGGTTTTTGGTGGCAGTGGAGATACGGCAACGCCCGCGCTGCTCGATCCAACGGAATTTCCATCGTTGACGAATGTGCGTGGCCAGAACGATCAATCACTGCCTCAGACGAATCCCCTCCAGCCACCGGGAAGCAAACCCTATGGTAATTTCTTTACCTCTTGTGAGTTCTTCAACGATATCCTTACAAACAATTTTTTCTTTATTATAATTAATTATTTTAAGTACAATAAGTTTGCTCTATGTATATTTTGCACTCGGATAAATAATGTGCACATACATACATATGTATATACAAAAAATAATTGGGACTCGTGGAACATGAAAATAGTACAATTCGCAAACGGTCGTTGGTGTAAGCATTTTATAATTAACTATTTATAAAAATACAATATTTTATTAAAAATATTAAAAACAAAACTTATAAAAAAGTAACTTAAGTATTGTTCTGAAAAAATAAAAATAAATAAATAAGTAAATAGTACTGAAATTTAGCATTGCACTTGAATTTGAAAGAAAAGTTGATTAAATTTGAAATACAAAATTGTTGAAGCGTTTATAAAAAATAATAATTTCTCAAACATAAAAGGGATTGAAATGCTTATCTGTTATAAGAGCTAACTTCAATTAAAAGTAACATATGTATGTATGTAATTAATAATAACCATACGAATATATACATGCATCTAAGTTTATTTCATACATTGAGCAATCTTTTTGTTATTCATTAAGGTGGAGGTGCCGGGATAATATTGTTTGTTTAAAAAAAAAAACGTTTTCAAAAATTATATCTTAATAGCGCATGCGCACATCTCTGTTGCTTCACTTACTATTTGGTACATACATAGCTACTCCATCTTGTCTTTTAATTTAATTGTGTTCATAATGATAGTGGCCTAAAGTTTTAAATTTGCTTACGTTAATTAAAATATTGAACTTTGTGGCCCAAATACTTAAGTAAGTAGTCGCGTGGTTATTTGATTTAAATTTTAATCATTAATCTGCAGTTTTTTCTCTTTGATCTACGTATCGAAAGGCGGTTTATTGGAAATTATAATAACTCTCTTATCTCTTCTATCTCTCTCTGTTCACACATTAGGCGAACTTTTAATTTCTTGAAAACTTGTATATAACTTAATTTTAAATTACAGCTATTATTATGAACACATTAATCTAAAACAAATTTGTATACTCTCGTATTAATTACTTTTTCTTTTGGACTACTCAATGTTTCTTTATATACTTTATACTGGTGCGTGTTTGAAATTTTTAATCAAACATTAAACTCATAAACATACATAAATGCTCTATGTGTAGAGGAGATGCTGTTAGCGCAACAAACATATTGTGGTTGTGGTGTAGTCAACTTCAGGACGTATATATGTAGCTGGGAAAACATTTGAATTTTCGTAATTAAAAATATCATATAAAATGAAAAAAAAAGAAAACAGCCAAGTAATTGATTAGACAAATTTCTTATATATTACATCTATACCTACATATATATATTATATATACATATATTAAATAGTCAATTTAATTTGGCCACGCTCTCTTCATAATGGGGTTATCCGTTTCTATTTTCTTGTTCTCGTTTTCGTTTTCGTCCTGACTCACATCGTTGCCGTGCATTATAACCAACTCTTACGTCGTCCTACGCCCTTGATATCAATATATTTAACAATATATATATTTATATAACATATAA